CGCCGGGGCCGCGGGCGGAGGTACGTCCAGTCGGTTTAAAAGCGCGGAGCAGCCCGGTAATGCCCGTAGGCTGGGAGGGAGGAAGTTCGGAGGGGGAGGAAGCGAGCTGCTAAACCGAAAGAGCCTACGCCGGAACCGAAGGTCTTCTCGGGAAGGGGGAAACGTGGGTCAGCTCCCGGGAGGCAGCCCGGCCTCCGCCGAAATAGGGCAGCTGTAGTTAACTACGTGGATTGCGGGTGGATTGCGGTAGTTCAGCTAAACGTCTGTACTGCGTGTGTGTGTGTTTGTTTTTAATAAAAAGAGCTGTTTCTCAAAATACTCCCATCTCTGCCTATTCGCAACGTTTGCTACAAAAACTTTTTGAAGGTTGTGACTATCAGACGGAGGTGGTTTTGCGTTGCTTCTTGTTTCGCAGGTTAGAAAACGTGTCTAGAATTTCCTTGCTAGTGTCTTCACGTACGTTGGATTCTGTTGTCTGCTCCGGTTTTCAGTACCCATGTAGAGAAATGGTGTAAACGCAGGTGGGTGCAGAGAACCTGGAGTGAGGCCGAGAGCTTCACCCCTCTTCTGTCAGTGGGGAACAGGCTTTCTGTTGGTCGCGCTTGAGGCTGGGTCAAGAGTGGTAATTTGATCTTCCACCGGTGTAATTCCAGGTCTTAATAGCCTTTGGGCTCTGGCTGCTGCCAAACAGATGCAGTCTTGTCTTCCTCTGGTTGCAAGTGTTTGTATACCTTTGTGGGAAACCGGACTGGGGAGCCCATATGACTTTATAAAGTTGGGTTTTTTTCATTCCAATGGGTTAGATTTCCATAGTTTCCCAGTCTGCAGAGAATGAAGCAGGGCATGGTAGGACCTCTACTTTCAGGGTGGTGTGGATTAGGGCGTTTTAAAGTGTTAACACAAAACAATCCTTTGTCACTGTACTTCCAAAAGATCCTAATAACTTGACCTTATTTGCGAAGTGTGTCAGATCAAAATTCATGGCTTTGACGTGTGATTTCTGTAAGACTGCTGTGCAGCTGGATTTACTGTTCTGTTTAAAAATATTTTATCAGCTAAACAAGATGTTCTGTAACAATGTATTGTTTTTGTTTTCAGCTCTGAAATTCAACTATTTGCGGATTATTTATTATTTTTTTTTTAAACCTGGCCAGGTCTTGATCACAAACCTAAGAGGGTTTTTTGAAGAGTTTTAATTTTTGTGCTCACTTGAGACTTAAATTGCTACAAAACTACATCTTTTCTTTGAAAACTTTTAATATTTAGTGTCATATGATATAGTTAGTAAAAAAAAGCTTTTTTTCATATAAAAATGTGAGCAATGTGATTGCTTGCCAAGTCTTTCAGATAAAAAAAAATCATAGTTGAATTTATTCTTTGTTTTTGTACACAGCTGATAAGTTGTACTTTAGTAAAATGGAAATCAGAAGTTAGAACTATTACAGACATTCCTTCTCCAAACTTGGTTTTCCTTTACGTTGCAGAGATAACTAGCAAAATGATGATTGGCTGCGTACAGTAATTGCTATAAAATCCATGATACGCTTTGTGTCCTTTGGAGAAAAATAATCCAAATTATTTGTAATAGAATTTTTCAAATTTCTAATCAGTGATATTCTACCGATCCTGTTTTTTTTTGTAGGAGAGCGTTGCCTTCATTCTTACCCAAGCTTTCTGTCCAGTTGATTCAGTAGGTCCTCACTGGTTTAAAATAATTTATTTTAGATGCCATAAAGCTGCTTACATGTGTATCCTGAGGCAAGATGGAGTGGAATATGGAATGCTTTAACCAGATCTTTTTTCCATATTTTTGGTTTTTTTTGCAGCCCTTCAGAATAAGTGGTGACCAGGTATATGGGTTATGAGACTGAATTTCTCTAGCCAGCATTGCTGCTAAAGAGAACTTATCCCATAATTAAACTGCATGTTTCTATTGTTGCATAAATTTCAGATCAAACGTGGCTTATCACCACAACTTCAATATCAAGTGCTGTTGATTGTTGTTGCCATAACAGTTGTTAGAAACACTTGGTTTTCAACTGTCATTACAATTTGGACCTACTTCAGATGGACTTTGATTCCCATTATTTGTTCCAAGTAGCAGAAATGGAAGATCACTGTTGCTAGCAATTTAAATATCTGTGCAATTGACTCTACGCAATTTTTTTTTGCCCTCCACACAGGTGTGGAAAAATGGCAAAGAGAATTGCAGAGAAGGAACTGACTGACCGAAACTGGGATCAGGAGGATGAAGCTGAGGAGGTAAGATATACATTAGATTTCTCCCACCCCTGCAGGTAGTAGGGTAGTCATTTACATGTGCTATTTATCTTGTGGGTGAAGTCTACAGTAAAATTGGTTAAAACTATAGCAATTAAAAACAATTTCACATAAGTGATTTTATTTTTTAATAAAGCTTCCAATATATGCAGACCATATGGCAAAAGCAGCTTTTAGGTGTTAAAATGACATCAGCAGTTCAGGGGAAAGGAACTTTACATTTCTAAAGGGAACCCTAGGCTTGTTAAAACGCATAATGCTTTTGAACTCTGCAAATGCGTGATGGGTATTTACTGAGTTCACAAGAAAAGTGGTTTTAATTTCTTGAGACAAATTTTCTTCATGTCTCTTTCTTTTTTATTTAAAGGTCAGTAGTAGTTAATTTCAGAAATATGTTAATTTGGAGTGCTTAGCTGAATGTCCCTACACAGCCAGAAGAATTAAGCAAACAGTCAAATGATATGTTTCATCTGATTGTAAAAAGAGATTTTCATGCTTAGTGTCTCATAACTTAATGGCTCATGTATTCTCTCTCAACAGACTGTGGTAGCTTCTGTGCTGCTAAATGTACTAAATGTTTAGGCCTATAAAACGTGAGAAAGAAAACTGACAGTACTCTTCCAGAAATCTGAATATAAGAAAACTTAATTTCCTCGTTTATTACAGGGTAGTTACTATTCATTAGCTGCCTCTGCTAATACTTGGTCTACAACAGACTGCAGGAGATTGACTTACAGCATGCATCTCAATATACCTTCTCCAAACTGAAGATTGTTTGTAACAGTGCAATACTGACAGATTACCTTCAGCAAAGATTTCTGACTTTTTTTTTTTTTAAATAAAATTCTTGAATTATCTGTCATAAAAAAATTGAGATTGCACAAAGGGAAACGTAATGCAGGAGAAGACAGACAGGGTTTTGAAAGTATCAACTGATTGCCAAGTAGCTGGCAAGCTAATCACAGTACTATATTTTCTGTGGGGTTTCTTGTTGTTTTTTTTTTTCTTTTCTTTCCCCCACTTCTGCCCTTATTTGTTAGGGAGAAGTGTTACAGTTGTGTTCAAAAGCTGATCTCAGCCATCTGTTCAGACTCTGATGACTTTATGCATTCTGAGAATTTCACTAATGATTCCGTAACTTCTTCTTAAAGGTGGGAACGTTCTCGGTAGCTAGCGAAGAAGTCCTGAAGAACAGAGCTATTAAAAAAGCAAAGCGCCGGAATGTTGGATCAGAGGTATTGTAACCACTCAGCCTTAATGTTGCAGTTTGACTCAGTCTTAAAAAAAAAAAAAAAAAAAAAAAAAAAAAAAAAAGACATCCATGCTCAGGTTTTTACTTACTTGGGCTTATAATACTACTATATAAAGCTATCATTTAGAACGTGTATGCAACTAGTCAGCTCCTACATGGAAATTAATTTTCACTTACTGTTCCATAGCAAGAATAAGGCTGTAACGAAAAATGGGTAATCACTAGCATTGACTGGGCGAAGAGAGATTTTTTCAAAGTATAAATGCAGAGTGCTTCAGACACAACATAATCTACAGATGGGTAAAATAGCATTTGAACTGCTCCAGTTTCATTCTTTGCAGAGATGGAAGCCTGGAAATCAAAAGTTACTAGTTATCCATACTGGAGGGCTGGGGGATGTCTGAGGCAGAGGCTGAATAAGTAAAAGCCAAAATACTAAGCTGTCCTGAGAATGAAAAACATGCCTTTTGTTAAGAATGCTGCTACGTGGTGTTTTTTTTTTTTTTTTTCCCCTGTGAAGAGCTTTAGTGCCACCTACTCTTTGCAATAACAAATTGAAAATTGAAAGGAAGTTGGCATTTGTTACAGGTTCGGTCCCTGTGAAAGCCTTAACCCAGTCCAACCAGATTGTAGTCCCTTCAAAAATCCCTGACAGATGCTTTGTCGTATGTATCTTTCTATGAAACATTCTTTCAACAGGGCATATACTGTGTTAGAAATAGGATAGAAGCTTTACCTATCACTCAAATTGCTTTTGGATTGAATGGGACTAGGCACAATTAGGGGCTAGACAGTTTTCTCCTATGCTTTTGATTTTCCTTCTGTTATCCAAGCAATGTAAACGAGGAAGCTGTCCTGTCCCACTTTTGCCTATGGGAGTTTTAGCAACAAATGTAGTAGAGGATGCAGTTAAAGGAATGTACTGGGGAGAGGTGATGCAAGAAATAAACCACAACTTCAACAGGAGGGATTTAGGGACAAATGGAATAGCAGAACCAGAACTGGCTGAGAAGGGGGACCAGAGCATTGTAGAAGAAATAGTCAGGAGGCTGTGGGTCAGCTGTTAGAGATCAAAGCTGGAAGAAGAGCTGGGATAGGCTAGGCAAAGTCTGAAAAGCAAAAGATGGCAGGACAGCTGAGGCTGTGTAAGAAATCTGTGAAGTATTTACAAAAATACAAACTCAAAATTTATTGATGTCCCTAAATGGAGCCAGCAGAATGCTGCAAAGAAAAACACTGCAGTTTAACTTGAATGTCCAGAGAGGGATGGAAGGAGGACTGATCAAAAGAGAGATAGAATAAAAATAGCTACCTAGAAAAGGGAAACAGAGGACTGCCCTGGAAAAGGTAAAGCACAAAGGGAAACAAAAAGAGCCCATACCCACAAGCCCAGATACTGGACTAGAACCTCAAATGAGTAAGTTTTGCTGTTTCTTCAGTGGCAAAAGCAGATGAAACTCAGAAGCAATTCTCCTTTTCCTCTGATGGCTTTCCAGAAACACTGAAATTCCGCTTCCGGTAATAAGTGCTCATTACCTCAGAACACATTATGCATAGTGCCTATTTGCGTGTTAATCACACTGCATCTTCTAAAAGCACGTAGGAAACCACACCATAAAACAATTCAGTTGTAAAGATAGTGTTCAGACCTAGGAAACGAAAAGGCTGCAGGAAACATACAGATGATGTTATCAAGTACAGTCTGCCTTTGCTTCTCCCATCAGTCACATTGGAATATTCTTGGTAAATCATTTAAACATTACATAGGTGATGACAGAGTTTGCCGTTTTGATGCATGGCTTGAAGAGTTGGACTCTAATTGCGGTTGTAAATGCTAAAAGTTTCTGAAAATAAGCCTGCAATTACATATTGCTATGTAATTATTTAAAGAAAACAAGATGCTATTAATGTCTAAATAGGTAGTCAAACACAGCCGCTGCTCTGAACAACTCTAATGTATCCACTTCCTAGATCCTGTTTATTTTCATACCAGACATCTGAGTCCTTTAAAAATAGTAGCAATATGTGTCATAAGGAAGCTATTAACCTTGCTTACATAGCTGACTAGAATAATGCATGAAATGACACACTGAAGCAGGGAAAAATAAATGGAATATTAAGTGGGCATAGGATTTTTGTGGAGGAGATGTATGTAACTGGTTGTCTTTTTTTTTCTTTTTTTTTTTTTTTTCCTCTCTCCCTAGTCTGAAAGTGGAGGAGCTTTTAAAGGGTTTAAAGGCTTTACATTGCCTTCTGGAAAAGGAGGAGGAGGCTTCAGCGGATTTGGTAATGGTGCAGGAATAAAGCCTTTAGAAGGGCTGTCTAATGGAAGCAGTAGTGTCTCTAGCAGTCCTTCTTTCACCAGTTTAAAGACCACCTCTGAAACACAATCAGCATTTGGTAAGTTTTAAATAAGCATACGTGTTTATCAACAAATTCAGCCATGAAATCTGTAGCGTTAACTGAGTAGTGAAAAACCAAACTCAAAACAACCCTGTAGTTCTGTTTTAAGGTTTTCAGACTTTATTCCTCTTTCTAAGATTTCTTAAAGAGACTTTAGACTACTGGAGGGACAAGATACCAAATGCATGCAGTTTTAAGAGGTATTTGATCTCATACCAGAGGTAAAAGCTTTATAGGCACAAATAGGAATGGGAGACATTGACATAAGACACATTTAAAATAGTATAAAATAGCTGACCACATGTTCCAGCTAAATTCAGAGAATTGGGACAATTATTTAATTAAAAAAAAAAAAGCTGATGGAAAAAGTCCATTTAGTAGGACTGTAGTTTCTTTGTGTGATATTTTTTTTTTTTTTTAAGGTCTCATTTCTTTATTTTTTGCAGTTCTTGGTAAATATATGCTGCATAGCTGAAATCTTAACATGTTTTCCCTGCACGTCTTCCATTGCAAACAGTCTTACTAGATCTTACCTGTTTTATTTATTTATACCTACGTTTTTAAGACACTTGAACTATTTTGGCAAATCTAACTATAGTCTCATGCTCTGGTAGTCCCTGAAGAGGAGTAGTTCTGTCCCTGCAGATGCAGAAATGTTCACCATGCCACTGTTCTAGAGTCAGCATGCCACAGAGTAGAAATGGTGGAGTCTGAAGTTTAGAGTAATTTAGATTTCAGTGAGCTTAACTAAATTAGGAGAAACTTAAATATTTAATGAGGATTTTCTTAATTTGCTTATTATGGTTTTTATACAGATGCCACTCAAAACCATGCAGAATCATGGGCTTGTCTGGTCATAGTTTTTTAAAGCACAAGTAGCAAGAGATAACAGAATACTTTGTTTTAATAACTGTTACAGCTTGGTAAAGCTTGAATTAAGATTTTGAGGGTTTTGGTGAAATACGAGACTATTTTTTTCATGTTATTCTGTGCAATTTCTTTGGATTTTTTTTTTTTATACAACTTTGTGCTCCATCTACTTTGTCTATCTCTGATCTAACTTTTCTAAACTTGGCAAGCTTAGGTCTCTTTCACAGCATTGTCTGTTGACTTGCCCCACACTCTGGTACGCACCATTGTCATAAAAGACAAGGTACCTCACTGAGCAAGAATGAGTGATTTGATAAAGAAATCTTGAGAACACGTAGTTCAGCTTTCTGGGGAAAAAAAAAGTATTCTAAACTATGTTTTTCTTCTAATAGGATCCACAATGTCAAATGGTCCTTCTACTACTGCATTTGCTGAGAAAAAGGCTGCAAGCCCAAAAGCTAATGGTGGCAGTCAACCATCCTCATCTGGCTACGCTCAGAGTAAAGTTTGTAGCTCTAGTGTTTACCACAAACAGTTAGCAGCTTTAAATTGTTCTGTGCGTGACTGGATAGTTAAGCACGTAAACACAAACCCACTGTGTGACCTGACACCCATCTTTAGAGACTACGAGAAATATTTAGCAAATATCGAACAGCAACATGGAAGCAGTAGTGATAGCGGCTCTGAAAACGAAAGCAACAAGACACCTGGCCCTCAGTCTGTTTCTGCATTTGGGAATTCAAAGCTACAGCAAGGATCAACGTTTTTGTTTAACAGCAACAAAACTGAGGATACCTCGGACAAAAAACCTGAAGCTGCATCTGAAAAGAAAGACCCATCGTTAGGAGCTACATCAACCGTCTCATTTAATTTTGGCAAAAGCGTCGACAGTTCTGTTTTAGGTTCCCTTGGTTCAGGAACGCTTAGTAGTTTCTCATTTTCTCCTGGGAATGCAGGTTTGTTTGGAAAGGATGCCAACCAGGCTAAGTCTGTCACTGCAGTATCCACCAATGTGTTGGAAGCTCAGACAGAAAGTGGCAATAGCGATGATAAAGGTAAATTCTGTTTAAAATGATCGTTTTAATGGTAAACTGAATGTATGTGACTTAAGAATACTGCAGAGATGAAACAGTACTAAGTTGAAACAGGTCATAATTGCTCTTGAATTTAAAAAGTGCACCACCAATCTGGAAATCTCTGAGTCTTGCATGCTGCTTAAGTAACACTAAAAGTATACGGTTACCAAAACCTATGTATTTATGTCAGACTTATACTTTCTATAATAGAATATAATTCTTTAGCCGAGTGCAAGACTTGAAATGACGGAATTCAAATGAACGAGTATGTTCATCTTTGAGCCTGCAGGACATTTCAATCCTGCTGCTTTTCCCAGTATGTTTGTCAAGAGATGCCTCAGTAAAATGCAGAAGATACGGAACAGTTTCATACCTCTTTCTCACAAGACTGTAAGGCCAAGAAAGGTACATACATACCACCTGACAGTTTTACTCTGCTATTGAGCTGAGTACAGTAAGCTGAGAGAAATCCTAGCAGTTGAGGGACTGGAAAGGTATAATCCTGCCACTGTCTCTTGGCTGTCATTCCTGCAACTGATGACCCTTCCCCCAAATTTAAATTTGGCTGTTGGAAGTATTTCTTGTGCTTTACTTGGACCCATTTGTGGAAAGCGTTCTTTGAAGTGATGTAACTGTTTCCCCCTGACAGAAGGTTTTGACTGAAGTTTGACTTGTTAGGCTTCGTGGTTTTTTTGTTTTGATTATTTGTTGGGGATTGGCTATTTTCATCCCATTTAAATTGAAGATAAGCATAAAGTTGCTTGAGGGGTGCAGCTGAATGAAAAGAAACTTAAGACTTTCTTCTGTAGCTGAAGCTGCTTCAGAGCCCACATGGATTTAAATGTATTTTGGCAATCATTGACAGGCTACACGTATACACGTCACATACAGCATGCATAAGCTAATTCTAATACAATGCCAAAAATACTTCCACATTATATGCTCACAACATTAACATAAGGAATGTATTAAAACTTTTTATTTAAAGGAGGAGAAGAGGAGGAAGAAGAGCCACCAAAAGTCATTGTTAATGAAATAAAAGAGGATGATGCGTTCTACTCAAAGAAGTAAGTGACTTTAACTTTCAATAGTGAATAGAATTAAGAACTTTGAGAATAAAATTCATACCTGCATACTGTTATTCTTTAACACTGCAGTGCATACTTAATGATCTGTGTGTTCTTGATGGCCTAGTTAATACAGCTTGTTAGGAAGCCATATAGAATATGAAGTTCCACTTGTAAAAAAGTTAATTACAGGTAAGAATGTGTACTATCTTACTGAAATTCTTGTGTATCTTGGACACAGCACTGATAGCTAGTTTGTGTTCTACTTGTGATCATTTTTTTGCAAATGAAGACGTTTCTGCCTTCATCAGGTTTTGTAAGTTTAAATTGTAGGGCTTGTACCACAGAAATAACGTGCTCTACTTCTGAAAAATCAGTCGGGTGCTCAGCTATTTACATAGCTTAAAAAAAGACTCTTAAAACGCTGATTGTTGTATGAAAGAGTGAACGAGTTGTACTTTTAAGTTCAAAGTGAGACTACCTCTATGAGAAGCAGTTTTTCAAAGCACCTTCAGTAGTGCAAGTAACTGTGTGTCTGCTTAACACTTAGCACAGAATTTGTCCTACAAAAAGTCACTTGCTTTATCTGAAAGAAGGTGCATGCTCATGTATGAAGAATGGCATTAGGTTTATTAGAGCTTCACTTGAAAAAACGTTTAAAATTTTATGTAAAAGTCCTACTTAACTTCAGAATGATACAGCAAGTTCTTAAGGGTTTGTAATTAGTGTTTTTAAACAGTAGCTTACAGTTATTTCTCCTTATAGATCGTGCGTGCAGGTTGCTGTGCATTTTACTTTTTCCCTAAAAGTAATAGGTTTGTCATTTCAATACTGAAAGAAATAATTAACTTTTTCTTTCTGAGCTGGAAATACTGTTAGCGTATGAAACAAGGTCAAGAATAATAAAGATTTATGCTACTCACAACCTGTTAACTCCTGATTATTGTTAAACGATTGGCTTATGTGAGTCAGATGTATACGTGTGTGTATTTGGGAGATATCTTTGTGTTTAATCTCTACGTATCTGCAAAAAACAAGGTGGGTTTTTTTTGGGTGTGTTTTTTTTGCACAGGTGCAAACTGTTCTACAAAAAGGATAATGAATTTAAAGAAAAAGGTGTAGGAACATTACACTTAAAACCAGCAGGAAATGAAAAAACTCAACTCCTAGTCCGAGCAGATACCAATTTAGGTAAGTAAATTCCTTGTAGTAGCAAGTCTTGATGTGAAATTCTCTAAGCATTAGGATTTTTTTGTCACACAGCGTAACAGATAAAATTAGTAAAAACCTTTCTACTTTTTTTAAAGCAATTTCAAGTACTGAATGAGCAACTGGATGCCTCTAATGAGTATTATGAAATAGCGCACAGGAAGCAGTGCAAGGAAGGGAAGAGTTATGGTGTATGTTCAGGTGTTCCTCCCTGCCACCTCTTTTTTTAATAGCTGTTCTCCATCCCAGTCTTGTTGAGTGGCTTAGTTTGAAATGTGGCTTAAGATCCACAATGAAGTGTATGTGTATGAGGTGTGATGAATGAAGAGGAGAAAATTTTGTGCAAAGATGGAGTTGTCTTCAGTTCAACCTGACTCTGTAAATAGTTGGCCATGTAGGCAGACATCCGTTATGTGTGGGGTTAAAGGGGAGGGAGTGTTACGTAGATCAGGCACGCAGGATTTTGCTGTATGCATTGCTCTGAAAAGGCATGCTGAAGTCCAACTGTTGAACTGTGTTTTAGCTATCTTCAGTTGGATCACAAATGGTAGGTTGACTCTACAGAATTAGAGTAACCTGTAGCGTGATAGCAATATCTTTTGACATGAACATTAACACATACAGCTAATTAAAGAGAAAACAAACCCCAACTGTTTCTTAGCATTTAGAAGTTAGAGGGACTTGATGTATTAAAGTTTCTAAGGTGTAATGTTCAGTGTTTACACACTCAAACTGTGCAAGTCAATGTTTTGATAGTCATTGCTGAGAAACTTGTCTATGCTTCAGTACGTAATTTCAGCAGACTTGCATGTGAGGTTCACAGGCACTTGACAGCTTCCATAAAACAGAATGAATGTTATGCCTATGGAAGACCTGAGGACTGAAGCCACGCTGCACTGTGGGCCATTAGTACATCTCACCTCACTTCCAGTTTATAATGCAAGTCTCTGAAGTCCCTGCAGGCCCATTAAGGGCAGTTGCCAAATGTGTGGTGAGATTGGGACTCCTGTGTTAGTCACTTCTACATCATTACTTCTTTCAGTGGAGACAAGGTCTGCCAGCTAAAGTTGCCATTTCTTAGCAATAAAACTAAAGGCAGATGTCTGGCAGAGGTGTCAGTGCTTTCAGCATTTCCTTGGGGATTTGAATGTGTTGAATAGAGCAGATGGAAACCTGATTTCTCCAAGTTACCTACTCTTTAATGCAAGTCTTGATTTTCACTTATCTAATGATAACTTTAATGATGTTGATTCATGTTCCCTCTACCTTCATCTGAGGTGATGTATTAGGAAGTCTTTCCTTTTTCTTCAGCTCATACACTAAGACATTTCAGCTTGGTCTTTCCAAGCATTGCTTTCTAGAAGCTGTTGCAGTCATAATGATGCACACTTTCCTTTTTGCTATCTTCACACAGTGCTATAATCCTTTCCTAAAATCTCACTGTGTTGAAAAACTGACCTGGAAAGGAGGGCGAAGACTGACTTTTCCCTAAACACTACTACCGTGTTCTGAACTATTTACCAGGTTTACAAAACGTGTGCATCTTCCGTGGAAGCAGATTTGAGTTTGTTTGCAACTGTTTTAATAGACCACTAATACTGCAGCTCTCAAACTCACTACATAATTTAACAAGTTGACATAGAGCTGTTGTTAGTAACCTGGTGGTAGACCACCTCAGATGTGTTGTACAGTTTGAGGCTATTTACTCTACCATATTTTGTCCAATTTTAGATTAGCATGTCTGTATGTGTGTTAAAGCTAACTTTTTGCTTCTGCTTATGAACTGTGCTTGATGGTCGGAATGAGTAATTTAAGATAAGCGTAAACTAAACACTGTCTGGATTCCTCATTTGCTGCTTCTCCCTTATTATTCCCTTCCCTTTTTCCTGTGTACCCCTACTATCATTTGATATTCTTCAGACTCCTCCCTTTAAAAAAGGAGGACACAGTATTTTCAGATTTCCTCATTCCTATTGAGGAAGAAAATCTGTGAGAACAGTGGCCATAAGCAGATGCTTAGGGAAGATTAAGACGAATATACATGACAGTTATGAATTGCCTTCCTTCCAAACACAAACTTAAATCCCTATTAGTAAGTATACTAACAGCTGTAGTGCAGTAAAAGCTGAAAAATTGCTAACTGTAATCTTTTTCCCTCCTCATACGCAGGAAACATACTGTTGAATGTTCTGATTCCACCTAAGATGCCATGTACACGAACCGGAAAAAACAATGTTCTTATAGTTTGTGTTCCTAATCCACCGATTGATGAGAAGAATCCAGCTGTTCCTGTCACTATGTTAATAAGGGTGAAAACAAGCGAGGATGCAGATGAGTTGCACAAAATCTTACTGGAGAAAAAGGAGGCTTAAATAAGTTGCAGTCAGTGATTTGAAGAGTTATTGCCAAACTGCTGCTGCTCTTTTTTTCTTCCATAACTTCACTTGAACACTTAACTCTTTGCTCTGATATTAAGAACTGTTAGAGGAATTCTGGAAAAACTATGTGAGGAAAAGCTAAACTAGCTAATAAAAGCTTTAATAGAACATAAGTGTTGAACTGTGCTCCCTCATTTTTCAGCATCTAAACGCAGGACCTCTTCTGGATAAAGCACACTGATTTAGGTTAAAGCATATGTGGTCGATTTGACCGAATGGACTGAAATCAGAATACAAAAATATGGTACCAGAGCTTCCTCACAGACTGCGGTGCAATGTGACAACCTCCTGTTTTGAGAAGGGAGGACGTTGAAGCTTAACTGTTGAAACTGTTTCTAGACTCCAGATTTTTAATTTTAATTGGTCTGTCATATGCTGGTGAGACTAATTTTTTTGAGTGTTGGTGACAACAATGTACCCCAACAACAATGATATTACGTATTTTACTGTCTTTTAACTCTTACAGACTCGTGTGCTTTTGGGACTCAGAGATGCATCTCCAGATATTTAAAAGAAAATTTGCTTGCACAGTCTTGTTGACAGTAGTGTTTCTTAGAGAAGAACTGTCAGTTCTGTTCTTAGTGTAGCAACAAGCTCATGATGTGCAATAGTACAAGCAGACAACTGGAAGACTGTCTTATCTTGGACCACAACAGCAGCTGGCATTCGCTGACTTCTGACAAGTCGGAGGCAAAGGGTTGCACTTCCAATACTCTTCCCTAGTCCCTTGGGCCAAAACTGAAACCCAGCAGAGGCAGAGTTGTAAACGTTGTACTTGTCTTGCTACTAGTACTTTTCTGAAGATAACTCTTTTCACAAAGAAATTTCAGGATTTTTATAGATGTTTATATTGCCTCTGGCCGTTATGAAGAATACATGCATAAATGCGTGTGTGTGCCGGTAATTATATTTCCCATGTGCTAAAACTCCAGTGCTTTACTGCGTTATGTTAAGTAAAGGAGTAGTTTGCAGCTTTAGGGCAAGTTTTCTGTTGCCAGTAGGGAGCACTGGATTAATCTGTAGCTTAGTTTTCAGCTGTGTTCAAATTAACCATGTGGCAATAATTCATGGATCAGATCATCATTCTGTTCTGTTTCCATCTCAACTTTATCAGGCCTTGTTTGGTTATTTAGTCCTTTTCTTTTTCCAATCTTGTTTGCTGGAAACTCCTCCTCTAATAATTGTTTTTCTGCTTCACTTCCAGCTCTGGAAGCTATCCTAGAACTAGATGTTAATATTAAACTTGAACTGCTCTCTGACACAATCACACTGACCAGCTCCAGGGAGGTGGAAGAAACATGCCAACCTGCCTCTGGCTAATGTGGCACAGAGGAAAGAATCTCTCACAGGGGACCTGGAAATCTGCAATAGTGGCATCCTGTGGGTGGGGAAAAAGGAGCAGCACCCACCCTGTGACTAGATGTGGCACATCTTACCTGCTCACTGCTGGTCTTGGCAGGGGGACAAATGGCTGCCTTTAGTCCTCATGCACTGCAGAGTTCAGGTTATGGCCTTTTTTTTCCCCCGTCTTAATTAAAAAGGAGGAAAAACTATAGGATCTATAGCCCTCTTGACCAAAGTTCAAAAACAAAGGCCTTTGCTTGTATTTCAGCTATGCTGAGGTCACAGGAATTGCATTTTTAACACTCAAGAGTAAAGGGAGCTCAGATACAATTTTAAATATAATTTGAAATACAAACTGGTGCCTTTTTTTTTTTTTTGCATCTGGCTTGGTACTTAACCATTAAAAGTAAGTGACACTGCTTTCCTCAGAATAATGTGCTTTTTTTTTTTAAAAAAAAAAAGTGCCGATACCTAAATTGGAGGCCAAAAGCTGAAGGCCTGCGTGTTAATTGTGCGTGAATGACAAGCAGAACATTGCCTGGAAGTTCACTGCAGGCTCAGGTTTCATGCCTAAGGGCTCGGTTAATTCTGCATTTGTTGTTTGACTGTAGTGTCTTGACCACGTCTCCATGCAGAGAGGTTTACAGACTGGAGGGCTGGATGTGGTAAGCGGTTTTCTTACACATCTCACTTGAAGAGCAACTGTACAGATGGTATTGGTGGTCTTGGGTTTGTGTTTGTTTACTTCCAGAAGCTCATGGATACGTAACTGTTTCTTCATCCATTGAAGTGTGGACCAACTAACTTAAACAAGCGAGAGAGGAATGGAGCTTTCTGTATATCCTTATGATTTGCCTCCGAAGCGAGGCCGTGCCAGGGTTTTGCACAGATGTATTTGCCCCAATTCTAAAGCCGGCAAACTGAATAATGGCTAGTGCATCTCTGTCATGTTTCCAAGGGTGGGACTCCGAGGGTGAGCACAAGAGTGTAAGGAAAAATAAGTAGAAGAATAATAAAACTTAGAAAAATTAAATCTTAAAATATCTGTGGTAGCAAGTAATATCTTCTGTTAGCTGGGAGAAAGACTGAGATGAGACACCCAGATTTCTTCAGCAGCATACACATTTATCAGTAAAGCTAGGGGAAGCTATATAATTGGAATCTCATGTTAATTAGAATGTCAAATATATGCATAAACATAATGATTTTGAACATTTTACATGGGGAAAGTTGCCACTAAAACAACAGGGAAGAATTTCACTGCAAATTAGAGATTTTAATCAACATCATTCATAGTGACCCTATGATTATCTGGAAAAGTCAAGTCATACACTTGACTTGGTGTTCAGTTATAAAGCACAACCCTTCTCCAGCACTGTTATAAAAATAAATTTTTGATAATGCCTCAGTTTCTAGTTAAGAAATACTAAATAAAATACGTAGATACTGTAAAAGGCCAGAGATTGTCACATAGAAATAAAGGCCTAAAATGAGTTAAAAAGCAGAAGTTAGTGGAGAGCGTAGAAATCAATATACTTATGTCTTCATAACAAAGTAGCACATGCTATATAAGGACGGGAT